TAGGCCAAGAACAAGATAACTAAAAATAAGCGAGAACAGAGAGACACTACCTAAACCAATAATAACTAACAAACTTTCTTAAGTTACTTCCTTAGCCCTAAAAGAGCTCGCTGGAAGACAGCCCTGCTGTCTAACATCTCTTCCTGTTTCTAAACTGCTCTTTAGCAACTGGAGTCCGCTTTAAGCGCAGCTAGAAGCGACTAAACCGCAGCACAATAGCAGTACTATACAGAGAACACTCTCACTTTAAACAAATTGTACCTAGAACGGCCTCTGGCCAAAGTCTTACATAGTCACTGACTGCAGATAGACTCTAATGGAATAATAATAATAATAATAATACGGGACGCAGGCGATTACTTTTCAAATATCGTCCCAAACTAACCTGCGCATTTGCTCGTAGGATGGTGTCGTGTTTAATGAACAGGTTTTGAAGATCTCTGGGTAGGAAAATGTCGGCGAGAAAGTTGAATAGTTGAAATGAAGAGACACAGCGCAATTATGTTGGGTATGGGCTACGTCTTAAGTGGATAATTCTGGCGTGTGCCTTGACTCGAGTAGACCATGTAACCAAGTCAGGGTCTGATCACATCAACTTGAGTTAGCACATTCTTTTGAACGTCGTTAAGCGACGACCAGATTGCGGGGATTGCTAGCTCTATACTTTTTTCAGAAGAAATCACCGGAGCAGAGGGGGCCCGAAAGGCGATGTAGGGTATATATGGCAAAGGCTCACCTGAGATGCAAAACTCCATCCGCCATATAATTCTTTTCAATCGTTCTAAATACAGTGCCACCAAAATGCGTACTACCTTAGCTCTTGCGAATGCGCTACTCTGCGTCTTTGTTCATGCACAATCACCAGTAGACATGTTTCCTGGCTCGATGATGACATGTCAGAGTGGTAAGTGTCCATGGCCATGCAATTGGGTTCCACCACTGACGCATACTTGTAGGCTATGCCCCCTCTCTTACGTGCAGCGATCCAGTTCCAGTTGATGAGCTTTGCTCGTGCACTTGCCGTGATGGGGCGACGTTCAACCAGTCTCGTCCTTCTCCCTCGGACATTGTCGTCCCCCCTCCGACTTTGGAACCGGCACGCCAACTTGTGGAAAAGCCATGCACTACAGAAGTCATTACGCCCTGGACAGAAATTCGGTTGCCCCATGAAAGAGGATCTCCAGAACCGTCAGAAATGTTTTCCAATATTGTTAATTTGATGGAGGACAGTTTCTTGGCCGTGGCTGATTCCAATGGGAGGTGTCAGCACTTCGAGGTATACATTGATGACGAACTCATCGGAGAGACGTATGGAACAGGCGAGCTTGACAATACCAATTGTGGCAGACCAGAACAGTGCATGGAGGATTTCGGTGGTAGCCATGGTTATTTCACTCTTCCAAAAGGTAACGCAATTTGCATGTTGGTACGTGAGTGCAGATTCTGAAGGCTAACACTTGTGTTAGGACAACACACAATCGGACTTCGATGGGTCAAGGTGTCGGAGATATGCAAAGAGGTTCCGGTGGGAATAGGCTCTTACCAGATCTACAGGCCATGCTGAGGATGCAGCTAATGTCGAACATGCTGTGTTCCTGCAATTGGCTGATGTTGAGTGGCAAATATTGAGAAGCACTCGCCAGATTCTGTCTGTAGTTTTATACAAGCCATTGTCTAGCAGCCTATGCGTGCAGTCTTTTGAGGGTACCCAGGTCGGCATAAGTCGTCTAGCGAGACCAAGTTTGATTCGCTCTCGTACTACTCGTCACTGTTACTTACAACGCGTTTTTTTCGTCATCATGTCTACCGCCATTGACGTTGCGCACCCCTACTACATTCTCAACCATATCGTAGAGGTCCTTCTTCCCACACGCTGTCACACAAATGTTGCGGCTACATACATGGTATTTCTGCCTTCCTTCCCAATCACTCACCCCTGGTTAAACCAAACATGATCCATAGCCAGTTGAGCTCTCTCTTCATTTGCTGATCGGTGTAGATTGTCACGTCACGCTGCTGCGGGCATTCCAGCTCAAACAAGACTGCAGAAACACCTTCGGGGCGGTTATTACACAAACTCGGTTTAGCATTAGTGTTGCTAATTGTGGATGAGGAGAAATCCTAGTTTGCGATTGCAGTGGGTTGTTGCGTGGAAACACCGCGTTCAACTTGGCATTGGATTTTCTGGTGCTACTCGGACTGCACATGGTTTGCGCCCGCATTGCTCATGCTCACTAGCCCGTGGAGACAGCAGTGTTTCTTCGGACACAGGTCTACAGCTTATTCTTGGGCGTGTGCCTACCAGAGTTTCTTCGGAAACATGATTGGCAGCATCTGTTGGAAATAGGCTTTTGCCGAAGTGGGGGCCCCTTTTCATTGGAGGTTGCCCGTTCCCGAGTGGATTCCGAAGAGCTTCCCTCGGTTTTCCTGGAGTGATATTTGCAAAACCACCCCATTATCACATCACGACAGCAGCTCCAACGGAGCCTAAATCAGCATCGGTGGTTTAGTGGTAAAATTAGCCGTTGCCATCTCTTGAGATAATTCGGCTAGCCCCGGGTTCGGTAAGTCAACTCGCAATCTGGATTCGATCCCAACCGTTCTAACAACATTCTAGATTCCCGGCCGATGCACATCATATATATTTCTTTTTTGCCCTTTTTTTGCACCAGGGTCCCATCTTTTTGTATACACCGCATGTTTCTCTTTTGTGGAATGAACCTAAGAAGGGTCTACAGCGACAAATTCCTACACCTAGTGTGATTGAAGAGATTGAGACGCCCGGAAGTTCAGTCATGAGCTTGTTCAGCTCACAGACTGCACTTTAATTATTTTTTTCTCGACACGATGTTAATTATTGGAGACGGCAATGTGAGCCGGGAAAAGAAGGCTCAATGATAGAGGGGATCTGTGCGCACGGAAGAGGCGTGTACTACTTGCATGTATAGAACATATTTTTTTCCTCTACAGCCCCGTCGCACAAGCACACGGCAGGGGGTAATAAAGAAGCAATGCGCCAATGCCCAACACGCCGCTTCCTCAATCCTGATCTTGCTCCTCCTTAATCTCGTCCTTTTTTTCTTCATCCTCTGGAGGCACAGCGACGGGAAAGGAAAGATGCTTCCAGTCCTCAATCTGGAGTATGTCAGCAAGTGTATGGGAGGGGGGGGCGCATTCTAATACCTCTTCCGTGATACTCTTCATACGGTCCCGGATGCTCTCGACGGCATAACTACCCAAGATAAGACGTAGCGGAGGATAGCTGCAATGGCCTAGTTGCCATAACAGTTCAGCACTTTTCACCGCACTAACGGGCTGCCTGTCGTTCAACCACTGTACCATTCGCCGTGCGTGCTGGGCCGGACTGGTCAATGTAGCATACGGCTCGCTTGGATTTGGTTTTACAGAAAAGTGGCCGTAGCGCTTCGGCTTGGGAGGTCCTGTTCCGGGAGCCGAGGTATACATGGGAAGCAACATGTTGTCGTCAGGTTCGTCCAGTCGGACATGGCCGGGTTCGACCAGTGTGGCTTTGATGTTGAAAATATCGACTTCGTACAACATGGACTCTATCAAACCCTCAACGGCATACTTGGTTGCGCAGTACGGGCCCAGTCCGGGCACGCCCAGCGATCCGGCAGTCGAGGAGAATATGAGGTAGCGCCCCGAGTTTTGAGCGCGAAAGTGAGGAAGTGACAATTGGATGATATGCAGAGTACCGAGGAAGTTTGTTGTGAATTGGTTGCGCAGGTCGTAGTCGTCCTGGTCTTCGCATGCTGCTATGACGCCGTATCCGGTGCTGTTGGTTATGATGTCCACTTGTCCCCAGTGTTCAATGCTCTTCTTGATGACCCAATCCACGGTATCGCGTACGCGCACATCGCAGAGCAGGCCTAGACAACTGACACTCTTCCACTTGTCCATCTGGTCCATTGTGTTCTCGTGTGTCCACCCGACTGCAGTGCATCGGTCGCCGTGCGCCAGTATCGCTCGAACCAGAGACCGGCCTATGTGGCCGGTCGCGCCAAAGACCTAGAGAGAAGCATAAGTGACGAGGCGGATGCACAGGCCGAGGGGCAGCATACAATCCATACTGCGCGTTTGGGCGGGTTGCTTTCCGAGGGCGGGTCGCACGTGGCGGGCAGAGCGAGGGTCGGGTTGTGAATGACGGCGCCCGGCGAGAGGCTCTGGCTGGGCGTATCGAAGTCCATCGGGACGTTGGAGAATGCCGGCAATGAGCTGCGACCCGAGCTGTGTCCAAAGGTGGGGAGCTTGTTCGGCCAATCGGACATGCAAGTGCCGCTAACTCCGTGTGCGTCCAGTGAAGGAGAAACAGGCCTGGCTGCAGACGCGTGCAAGATACGTCGTCGATCAACTCGCCCGTGTGCTGCACGCGACGCCCTCTCGCCGTGGCCCCAACGGCTGCGTCGCGCGCTCAAGGCATAATGAAGCGCCTCTCGTCCATCAGGAAGCGGAGCCCGTCGACGGCCAGCTGGCTCGGAAACGCCTGCTGACGGTTCATGAAGTTGCTGACGAGGATGAAGAACATGATGAAGATGTCCAGGTGCATGGGCGACGTGAGGAAGAAGTGGTAGGCCAGAAACAGGAAGGCCTGGGTTCGGTATCGGCTCTTGATGGACCGAATCACTCTGGCCGCCTTGATGGCAGCATCGCGGTTCGTGGGCGTGCGGAAGGTGATGACCTTGGAGAGAAAGGGCATCCTCGGCAAGACGGGCGTGTCCAGGAGGGGGGGAGGGGCAGTCGAAGGTCGCGAGAGATACCGAGTGGTTATCGCAATGGGGGGCGCGGTCGAGCAAGTGGACACCAAAAGGCACGCTTATCGATAGCTGCTCAGCACCGCCGTTGCCTGTGCGCATCCTCCCCATGCACACTCACGATTGATTACGTCTGGCCACTCTTGCGCGGAGAAAGAACAGCAACCAAGCACGTGCAGCATGGAGCGGCGCAGCGCATAGTGCGAACAACAGCCGCGACCATGGCCCACGATGCCCCCACACCGCCGCCGCTGCCCGTTGCCCAGGGCGGCTCCTCATCGTACATTGATTGCCCTTGGTCGGTGCCTGTCCGAACCCCCCCCCGCTAACATGTTGCAGCCTCTCCTTCACCCAGGGCTTCCTGCTCGGCCAGCTGTCCATTGCACTGCTGATCTTCTTCTTTATCAAGTTCTTCATCTTTGGAGAGCCGCCTTCGGCCGACGACCGCGCACTGCACCTCAACTCGCTGCGCCGCGCCCGCACACTAGCTCACCAGCAGTCGTACAAACAGCTGCGGGCGGGCGCAAACTCGACGTCCCTGTCCCTCCGGCACAAGCCGTCGCGGAGCATAATACGAAAGGGCGAAGAGAGCCTGGGCGGGCCGAGCATAGCCACGATACTGGCCAAGACGTACTACAATGTCAAGGGCCACCAGCCAGAGAGCCTCGACTGGTTCAACGTGCTCATTGCCCAGACGATTGCCCAGCTGAGAGCCGATGCGCGGCAGGACGACGCGATTCTGACGTCGTTGACCGAGGTCTTGAATGCCGGCAGCAAGCCTGACTGGATTGGCGACATCAGAGTAACCGAGATCGCGTTGGGCGATGAATTTCCCATATTCAGCAACTGCAGAGTCATGCCTGCCGAGGACGCCTTCTGGTACGGGCCAAGCAGCACGGCGAATGAGAAAGAGAGACTTCAAGCTCGGATGGATGTGGATCTGAGCGATGTCATCACCATTGGCATAGAGACGACGCTGAACCTGAACTGGCCCAAGCCAAAGTCGGCCGTCCTACCAGTGGCGCTTGCCGTCAGTATCCTGCGCTTCTCAGGAACACTGGCCGTGTCCTTTATACCCTCATCATCACCTCCGTCCACGCCCACACCTGCAACATCGTCCAAGACAGAAGCACATCGAGGCTCTTCTCCAAGCCGCCCTTCGTCCTCTTCTGGCGCTCCTCCCCACCGCCCCACAACGCTTGCCTTTACCTTTCTCGACGATTACCGGCTCGATCTTTCCATCGGCTCTCTTGTCGGTTCGAGATCCCGTTTACAAGACGTACCCAAGATTGCACAGCTCATCGAGTCGCGCGTGCATGCGTGGTTCGACGAGCGCGCCGTCGAACCCCGTTTCCAGCAAATTGTCCTCCCGTCGCTCTGGCCACGCAAACACAACACCAGAGGCGGAACCACGACGCAAGACACAGACGTAGCGCTTCAAGATGACGGCGACGACGACGACGAAATCGCCGTCATGGACGGCAACGGGACAGCCCCAGGATCTACAGCGTACATCCCAAGTCCGATTGCGGAAACTGCAACGCTAGAAGAACGCATCGAAGCAGAGGGCCAGAAGATGCGCGAAGCAGAAATCCGGGCTGGTGTCCGCAAACCGGGCGCTTCTGCCGAGGACCGCAACCGAAGCAGAGACCACCGTACAGACGGCATGCGCTGGCGGGGCGAGCAAAGAGGAAGGCAGCCTGCTCCCAGTAGACCAAAAATGCAGAGTAGGACCACGACAGGTATTGCTGCAGGCATGCCGGGCGCTTTACCCCGATGATGATGACGACGACGATGATGATGATGAGAAAATAGTTCGAAGCAAAACTTGGGAATATGGCAACGACGACACGACTAGATGTGCCCTGTAACAGTAGGTGATGCGGCGATGCGGCGTAATATGCGATTTGTGATTGATCAAGGAGAGAGAGAAAAAAAAGCCATGTACGCAGATTGGGGACCCTTCTAGACGAAGCACCCATGCATAGACACATAGACATCATTCAAACATGAGACGCAATCTAGTTGGAGGAAATGGACATCGCACGTGGAGCATTTATTCCACCACTTGTATGCTGTCTACAACCAAGTAAATACATACATACGTACATATACACCACTCATACACTCCATTCATTATCCACACTACCTTCTAATGCCTTGCATACACGCATACACTCTACGCTGTTTTTTTTCTGCTTCTCAGATTCTCAGACATGGTCATAATTCTCCTAACATATACATATAACTATATAACGTATGTGGCAAGCGAGCGCCGCAGGTAAGCGAGCGCCGCACCCCACCAAACCTGCGCACCTCTCCTATCTCAACGAACAATAGCTCAACGTAGCGCTACTCAATTAGCTTTAAATAAAGCAGATATTCAGCTTGCTATTTCTTCTATTAATCTCTATTAAACACAAAGTAATCGTCGCGCTGCTGCTGTCTACAACGTGTCTGAACGAACAATCCGCCGCCGACGCGCTGGTATACCTGCTCGACGCGATTGCCAGCCTAACTCAAAGAAGCTCACTAAGCTAGAAGAGGAGG